CTTTTAGTCCTTGGTATAGGGCCTGGCCCAATAGGCAGGCAGTAAAGAAAAAAATGAGTGAATTAAATTAACCTGCAAGTAAGCACCTTGCCAGCTATCGTACCTTTGTTAGATGTTTGAAATAATATCAAATGATGGTTAATAGAAATCCATTTTTGATGTATCAAGGCTCCAAGCTTAGGCTCATTTTACTATATTTTTTATAGCATTATTTATTCATGCTGAGTTGTTATTTTATTAGGAGCTAAAGATTACTGAAAAGAGAGAAATAGCAATTGATATTTTAAAGTATATATTCATATCAACATGTTTAAAAAAATTAACCTTCCAGTTAGATCTTGCCAATATCCCAGGCTATTTATCATGGTAGGTAATATTCTTTTAACTTGCTATGGTTGTCTTATTTGGTTCTTTGGAAAGTGATGAAGTTATAGTGACATTAGTATTTATTTCTCTACATTAATATAGGGGTAGAGGGGAAAAGGGGGTTATTATGGGATTATATGGAGTTATATGTGTGAGACTTTTGAAAATTGTAAAGCACTATAGAATTTAAAGAATCTTTCATTCAATAAACATCTATTGAGTGTCTACAAAGAGAAAGAATAAGTGCTAACTGAGGCTCCTTATTATTGTTTTGTCACCTCCCCCCCGGATGATTATGTAATTGATTGAACTATTATGTGCTCAGAGGAGTCCAATGATACATGTATCTAATTCTGGCCAGGAATGAAGAGTTTCACCAACTGAATTTTCCAGGGAGATAGAAGCTTTATATCTTTCAAAAACTTTTATTTTTATGATAGAATTTTTTCTGAACTGTATTTTATCCTGTCTACCTTATTAAATGAAATATAATAAGAATTTTACAACGTTTTTTCCTCCTTAACAGAGGCACTGGGGATTGAAATCACTCCAGGCATACTTTCTACCACTGAGCTATACTCCCTGCACCCTTAAAATTTTATTTTTTTCCTGATAAATCAAGGTTGTCATTAAGAACAGTAATGGTGGGTCATACAGTGGTGGCCGAGGTGCCATTGAGTGGTGGTGATTTGCTTCTGTGTTGAATTTTTTACATACATTTTTCTAGTTTTCTGGTTTTCCAGACTGATTTTTAAAAAATAGTTTTTCTAGCCTCCATTTGCCATCTTTATCTGCTCTTGCTGCTGTCAATGTGTTGACTTCTGGCCTGCTCCAGTACTACTTGCCCATCCCCTTTGCTCTGCTATCTTAGACCAGATATGGATTGACCAAAGAAATACGCACTTGTGAAATCCATAACTTTTAGTTTTCAAACGCTTGTCAATCATCTGATATGTTTTCTCTCTAGTTGGACATTCCTCTGTAAAAGAAGTCCTTCATTGTACCCTTTTCCTTTTAATTTGGCTGATAGGCCATATTCCCCAGCTTACCAGCTTCTAAATGTTTTGACTTGTGTGCAGTCTAACCTCTGAAGGAGTAGAATATTGCTAAAATAGAACTTTGGGTATAAATATAGGTCCTCTTTCAAGTAAAGAGAAGTCACTGAAAACTGCAGTTAAGTTGAGGATGTTTTCATTTGTTGAAGTCCTTATAGTTTAAAGCTTTTTATTTAATATGCAGGAGTAGCCACTCTATAAAAGAACCAGTGTCTACACTTCACCGACTCTCCCAGAGACGCCGAAGAACCTACTCAGATACTGACTCTTGTAATGATGTTCCTCTTGAAGACCCAGATAGTAAGTTAGAAGGGCTCTGTCTCTCCCCTTTGGCCTATTCAGCAAAATTATTGTAGGGCTCTGTAATTGTAGAAATGAAGGATACTGACAGTGAATGCTGTGCTTTGTCCATGGATTAATTCCTTAATTCAGAGTTAAGCAAATACCACACAATCAACAAAAGCTCATATATCCTCTTACAGACACCTTTGTTACTGAGAAGTACTTAGCATCTCTTTGTAATTACCATGTCTTAGATTTGTATGTGAAATATCAAAAGCTTTTACTCCCATTACATTTTAGTAATCTCTTAGTAATCTTCTATTCCCACTGCATTTGCATTTAAAAAACATGTTAGAAGCATGAATTTTGCATAGGATTCTATAGGAAAATAAAGGCAAGTTCTAAGTTCAAAGGAAAAAAAAATCAGCATTGTTACTTAAATAATAGGAAATGGCCAATGAAAATAATTTTTTCTGGTAGTAGTGGTGAATTGTGGTAGCATTTATTCCTGTACTTTTTCTTTCTTATTTGAAGAGGCAACATACTGTGATTGAATACTTTAGGAAAGGTTTTATGATTTATGTTAAAATTTAATTATTTTTCTCTTCAGAGAAAAAGCTTTGAAAACATGTGACAGAATATCTGCTTAGACAGTAGTGATCATGATTTCCAGTAGACACAAGTTTGGTGTTATTATTAAAACTCATTGTTAGACTTCTGCTTTTCAAAGTCTTTACTATTACCCCTGCAACATGTGGGATAAAAACTACATACAGCTCTCAATTAAGGAACAGATTGTGTTCCAGGACTTTATTTGTAAGTCAGCTGTTTGGAACAAGATTTTATTTCCCTTACGGCAATGACATGGTAAATGGTGGTTAGATTCTTTAGATTGCCTAGAAGAGCCCAGCTAATTCGTAGTATGGCTGAAATGGGATGAAACAATGGTGTTGGATTTCTAGTATTTGAATATAATGAAAACATTGATTAAGATAGAATTGTTTTGCTTACCCAGGGGGTTAAACAGGTTTAATTAGAGTAGAATGTAGATGGTTGAGATTCTAAAGGGACTGCTGGTCATTTTCAGATCTTTAGAAGTTGATGACTTTTTTTTAATGCCTATTTTTTAAATAGAACTAATCTATTTATTGATATGGAGCATTACTCTGCTCATTACCATTCTGAATTTAAGTTGGGGCAATGGATAAAAAATTGAAAGAAGGAAAAGGGTGAGGGTGGGAAGGGGATGGGAGAAAGGAACTTTCCTGGACCAATTTTGTACTACTTGGAAGAGATAAGGAAAAGAGGAAGATGGATGTTTAAAGAAGTTAAGTATGGGAGAAAATGTCGCCTGGTGCAAGGTACTATACATTCCGATTTACCTTACTCTTTCTGCCTTTTATACATCACCCTTTCCATCCAGAGGTCATGAAAGAGTTCTGTTCTGTCTTGTCCTTTTCTTTAAATGCCACTTCTTTTTTTAAAGAGATTATTTTCATTTGTGATAGCTTAAGTAATTTTTTTAAAGCCAGCCATTTTCCTTTGCTCTCTTCTTTTTTAGGCACCCTGGTTCTGAATTTTTGAAAACAGTTTTCATAAGACCTAAATGTAAATGGCTTATTCCATTTAGCATCCCCCAATTTAGCTATTAAAGAGTGTGAGAAAACTAGTTATCCTACATGCACGCACACTCACACACATATACACATGCATTACTATTTAAATACATACATATATCTCAATTCTCTGGACTTTTTAAAATTGGCAAGTATATGGTAGGTCAGAGTTTTATCCTTATATTTCCTTCTGTTCATCCTGAAGTTTAGTGTCTTAGTTGGTTGACAAAGCAGAAACTGACTTAGTACTCTTTCTTAGAAAGTACATGTTTTGCAAATTGGCAGTCTTAGTTGAAAGTCTATCTCAACATGTTCTTTTCCTTGAGAGATGTAGCTGCTTCTACTTTATATTAACTAGAGTTTTAAAATTTATGAAAGTAATAAATGTTTGTGTTAAATTCAAACAATATGTACATGTAAAATTGAACAGGACCATGCCAGTGTGTTTAATGTGTTCACTTGCAGCTGCAGTGGTAGTTTTGTGAGTTTGCTTTCCAAATGGAAATATGGCACCTTTCAGTGTGAGGTAGCTTGTCAGCTTTGCTCAGAAAGTCTTGTGAGGAAAAGAGCAAGATGTGTATTGGTCTTAGTTCTGTTATGTGATCTTAGGTTAAGCCTGTAACCTTTTTTGGTTTCCTTGCCTCGAAATGAGGAAGATACTAATGGCATTAAAATGATTAGGCTGGAAAAGCAGTCGTTAAGAAAGAGTAATTCAGTTCAGCAAATATTTGACTGCTCATTATGTGCCGGCCTTGGTTCTAGCAATTAACAAAAAAGTATCTCTACATCAGATAGTTTCATAATTTATCTCATGAACTCTAACATTTCTCCTTATGCTTGCCAGTAGTAGAAAGGTTAGAGTTTACTCTTTTTAAACAAATGATAAAATGATTAGCAGGAAGCTAAAGGAATTTCATGTTCCTGAATTGAAAATGTTCTTTCATGGAGGAGTGGAATTCATATTGATAGGATGTTTAACCTTTTAATCAATTTCTTAATAGGACCTGTTCACTGTTCAAGAAATACACTTAATGGAGATTTGGCATCATCAACCATTCCTGAAGAAAACAGACTTATGGCCAAAAAAAAATCTGAATCAGAAGATCCTCTTCCATCCTTCTCTTCCTGAGGAAACAGAAGTGTCCAACTTCCTTTAAGTATTGCTATGCAAAAGCTGCTGTAATTAAACTATGTTTTAGGGAGTAGTTTTTCCCTTAGGATTTCTCAGCACTTTATAGAATATTGTAAAACAAACAAACAAAAACAACCCACATACCTTTGAAGTGTATTTTATCTTTATATAGTTTATTTGCAAGAGTATTTTCCTAATAACTTCACAGTATGAATGTGCATCTTTTTTTTTTTTAAAAACAAATGATGGTGTAACATTTTGACATCCATAAGGACAAATGTAGATATTTTTCTAAAAAACTGTGAGGGACTGACAGCTTAGTCAGTGTGTATTGTAGCTTATAAACATGAAATCTTATAAACTTAAGGTTTCAGTTTGACAGAAGTGTGATATATATAACGTGTGCCATGGACCAAATGGTCACTTTACCCCAGCTGAAAATGAGTTTCGGTCGCAGCTTGATGGTGATTGTATTATATTCCTTTAAGCAAAAAGAAAACAGTTAATATTCAAAGTATTTTTAACCCAAATATCATGACATTGAGGATTTTTTAAAAACCAGACTGTGTTGTCCTTCATATATGAAGTTGACACTACTGACTTATCAATACCAAATGTTGGGTTAAAATACTTAATTTTTATTTATTTATTTTTCTGTTGCATCTAAAAGATGATTGCATCCTAACTTTTATGACCTGCCAAATTTAAGATATGTATACATTGTTATTTGCATTGTTCTAGAAAAGAGGTTAATGTTGTAGTGACCTTGCTCACTTCCACCAGAGAAATAAATGACTTGCAATGGAAGAGGATTTTAGTGCTTTTTTCCTAAAAATAGACATTAAGCTGCTATTGTAAGGTATTACTGTTTGCAGCTCTTTAGAATATCTAGACTTTTTTATTTATGAGTATTTATACAAAAAAAGGAATCTGTCAAGGTGACTGCTCTACATAACTTGAGAATGGCATTATTTAATTGAAGAACAAATAGCATTTTTTTGTCCATACCTATTGTCAGTGTTTGCTTTGTAAACTTTTTCAGTTCACTTTGGAGTGACAGTTTTGTCCAAGGTTTTGGATGAGGAGCACTTTAAAACAAACTGGTTTGGTGTTTTTAAGTTAATCATATGTTTAATAAATATGTAGTTTTTGCATTCAAACTCTTCATATAATACATTGTATTTTTTACATTTATTGATTGTCTAATCTTTTTCAAGTGTAAATATTCTTTGTTGCTTTGATTTTGTATGTATATTCAGACCTCATAGTAAACACACAAATGAGGCATATTTTTAGCTTTTTTGCCTGTGAGCTAGGAATAGTGTGACCTATTTCATTTTAAGTTTCTGTTACAAGTTTATGTGGGAATTTTTTAAAGAGTTAATATTTGGTATTTCCTTATTAAAGTAAACCTGTAATTAAAGGCTTTCTTCCTTAAGTTTAAATGGACATAAACAATCTATATACATTGATATACATTTAGATAAACTGTATGCTATTTAAAGTATTAGTGATTTTTAAATAGCACAGAGGTCATTAGGCAATATATATTAAGTGGAATCTTTTTTTGCTCGTATGTTGTATTTCATGTGTATAATTTGAGAGAAAAGAAGTTTGATAATGTAAGTTTTAATGTTGATTAAGTAATCAGATTTTTTGCTTCTATTTTTTGTTTTTGTTTTTGTTTTCTGTGGTAAGAACAAGTAGTTATTAGACCATGAAGGTCAAGGTGCTACTGATTGGGAGTTTTTCTTGAACCAGTACGTTTATACTGAAAACACTATAACAAAGCTTTTGAACTCATAGAAAATAAATCCATTTTCTGTTGCTTTATCAAAAAAGATGAGTTCCTGAACAGTTTCCTATAAATATTTTCTTAAATACAGTAGTCATTTCTGGTTCATACCATTTTTTTCTCTTTGAAACAGGTGCTCTGAACAAGTTTGTTACATTCCTAACCATGGCTTTTATTGTGACTGGAGCCACTTCTTTTCCCTTAGGAACCAACACATTTGTGAAATCCTTTTTTTTTTAAACGGGAATATCAGTGTATCTTTAATTATATCTAGGGTTTGATCAGTGAGTTGGTAGCATGAAGCAATCTATAAAGCTTTAGAGAACCTTGAATTTTGAGGAGCCCAGTGTATTTTCCAGTGTGCCTGATTTTTCTGAATTTTAAGAAGAAGATGAACCAAATAAGAACAATTTCATAACAATTTTAGCTTGTCAGGATTTTCTGTAATGTATAACTATTGATTGTTCTTGTTTTGCTTTATCTAGGCCATGGGGTTATTGAGAACTTTGGAGACTCTTGGTATATCAGTGATCTTCTGAGCAAAACCAGTGCTTGTTTTTCAAGTGCCTGGTTTGTGTTGTGTGAGAATTCAAGGCCTCTATGATTAAAACAACTTTGATAAGGATTCTTTTGTACATGGACCAAATTTGAACTTTGTTATATTGTGTTGAATTATTGTGTTAGTCTTTAATCAGGACAAGTCCAGAAATGGATGCTATTGCTTAAACTTAAATTCCAAGGCAGGGGATAAAGTATCTTCGTTTTGACAGTCGCCATGGAACCTTTCACCCTGAATTGTAGCTTTTCATTATGCATTATTACATGTAGTGTTTAGAAATTATCATAAGATCTCAGGAAGTATATCCTTGTAATATGTTAATATTACATTGCTGTTTGTACTGATTCCATGTACGTTATAATATCGTTAATTTGGATTTTACCAGTTCTTTACTTCTTTTATTAAATGAAGTGCCTCTGGGCCTGTCCTTTGGGCCTTGCTACTGCCACTTAGTGCAGAGGGAGTGTCCTGGTCTGTAAGAAAGCCTGGTGAGGCTGCAGGAGCTCCTTCGAGGAGGTCTCTCTGTGATGGCCCCGGTGGGTAAGTAATTGCAGCTGATAGTTGGGCTTCCTTCTCGTATCTTTCCAGTTCCACAGCCCTCCTTTCTCTGAATTCAACTGAATTTGTTTGAATAAGTTTGAATTCTTTTCTTTATTTTAAAAACTAACTTCCTTTTTACTAAAGTAATTCATACACATAGTTTAAAAAATCAAATAGCTTATAATGAGAAGTAGTAGCTCCCCCTCGCCCCAGCGTAGTGCTCCAGAGACACGCACTTTTAGCTCATAGTGGTTTGTCCTAGTATTTACCTTCCTATTTGAAAATAGGTTTTATTACTTTTTCTTGATTTGTCAGTTTTAGAAATGATTTTTTGAATTATGACAGGCAGGATTTACTTTTCTTATATCCTTACCTCCCGCATCCCTCCCAATGTAGATTAATCACAACTTTTTGTTAAATCAATAGATACAAATGTTTATCGATTATTTCCTATAATTTTTTCCTTTCTATTGGAAACTTATTTTTCCTGGAATTAATAATTGCCTGCTTTTAAAATTTGCTTAGTGTTTTAAGTGCCTGTCACAATGATTATCCAAAGGCTTAAATGCTGAAAAACATCAGATAATCTATCAATTCCTTTTTTTCCCCCTCTTTTTCCTTTAGGGACATTTCTTCTACACCCTCTTCATCTTCTGCCATCTGGACCATTGCTCTCCAGGCCCATGCATGGCTTGGTGGTCATTCTGGGACTCCCTTTGTTTTTCAGTCTCATGTTAAATCTCCTGTCTAGTGGATCCTTTCATAATTTACTGCACCTTTTTTTTTGCCAAATCACATCCACCACCAAAAACTTCTTGGGAAAAGATACATGAGAGATAAAGATTTTGAGGCTTTACAGGTCTGAAACTGTCTCTACTCTTGATTGGCTGGTAGTTTGGAATCTCTGTTGAAAATCATTTTCCCTCAGGATGTTAAAGGCAGTGCTCCACTGTCTTACAGCCTTCATGACTCCTGTGGAAATTCTGATACCGTTCTTTTTCATGGGACCTGTTTTTATGCTCGAAGCTTTTAAGAGCATCTCTTTACCCTTAGCGTCTCATGAGGATGTTGGTATCTTTGTTCATTCATGTTGATGGGTACTCGACTTGGTGGAATCTTTCAATTTACAGACTTGCCTACTTCAATTCTGGGAAACTTTTTGTGTTATCTTTTTGATAATTTTCTCTCCACTATTTTCTTCATCCTATTTTTTCTAGAATTGCTGTTATTTGAATGTTGGATTTCCCAGATTGATCTTCTGATTTTAAAAATCTTTCCTCACCAGTTGTTCTTTAAGTTTTTTTTAATTGTTCTTTTTGTTTTCCTCCAGCTCTTGTGTTGAATTTTTTTTTAGCTACATATTTTAATTTCTAAGACATCTTTTTTCTCTGTCCTTTTTTCATGAAGATGATTGTGGCTTTTTTTTCTCATGTCTTTCCTGTTTCTTGTGTTGTTTCTTGTGTTTTTTCCTGTTCTGTTTATTTGTTTTAGATTGTGTCTTCCATTCTGAAGCCTTTCTTAGAAAGTTGGGAAAGTCATCCATTCATATTAAGAATCAGGTACTAAAAAGCTAACTTCATAGTTCTTTATTTGTGGGCTAGGTTTATTAGTTATCTGCCTTCAGGCAGAGAGCTGGCCTGTTTTGTTGAAATTCCCTAAATTTCAAAGGAGGTCTTTTCTTTGGGGACATTCAGTTTCTTTAGAAAGAATTCCTGGGTTCTAGCAGTAGGGTAGGGAAAAAAGGGCTGAGGACCCCATAGTTTGTATGGTGGCTTTTCCTTAATCTTTCAATTTTCAGCCTCTCTACGCCCTGTCCCACCCCACCCACCCTGGTCTTCCTCTGTGTTTGGTGACCTTCAGGTTCAGTTTCTCCTGGGGATGGAGGTTGGGGGTGGGTGGGTTGTCTGGCTGTGGAGAGTAGGGAGAGGACCTGGGGTCCATCTGCTCATTTTACAGACTTCTAGCCCTAATTTCAGACATGTGCCTCACTCTTTTTTTTTTGGTACTTGCTACTTCCAAGTCCTGAACTTGTTAGATATTTGGTTGGCTATATTTGTTGGCTTCTCCCTTTAGGGTACATAGGTTTTAACTTCTACTACTCTGCTAGGTTAGTTATCACACCTCCTTCTGGTTTTCATTTTTATAAACTCTGTTGAAGTCTCATGGCTATATAGTTGGTTCTCTTTGTGGATTAATATCACATAATATCCCTTTAATGTCTTCTTGGTGGGGTTTTGAAGGTAGAGAAAATAAATACATGTGATCAGTCTACCATAATTAACTGAAAGTCTAGATTTAAATTGTAACAGTGTGTAGAAAATAAAATTTCTTTAATCTTAATTCTGTAATTCATTCTTTCCATTCTCTAATGATTTTCAATTAATACGGTTTTACTGTACTACCTACCTCATAGGGTTGTTGTGAGGATTAGAAGAATCAATACATATGAAGCACTTAGAACAGTGCCTGGCACATAGTGTGTGTTAATAAGTATTAGCTATTATTAACATTGTTACCATTATTATTATTACTGCTATCACTCTTAATTTAGTAACCCATTTAGGCCTGAATAAAAAATGTTTTCACCAAAGGAAAAATTATTGATACATGGGAAAGTCTAGTGTTTGATATTTTTGACTTTATATTTAACTAGACTTCACATGAAATATTCAGATGTAAGGTGTTATCTGAGACACATGAAAGCCTTAAAAATCCAATCAGTAACAGTTACTCTAAAAGTGTTTAAAAGTGTATGGTGACAATTTTGATGTGCTTTTAAGTTTTACTGGTATTGTGTTCTATTTTAATTATCTAAATGTGAAGTATAGGAAACAAAATAATGGAGATGTCTATTATGCCTTACAGCCAGGAGATGTGATACTTTTTGAATATATAGAGTATAGAAGTAGAGAAATAGTGGACTCCAGTCTCTGCATCAATGACCTTGTGAATGTTGGTACACACTTTCAGAAAATGTGAACTTACATGAAGCAGAATGCCTACATTTGCTCAATTATTTTAATTATCTTGGTTGTGTCCGAGTTAAGAGTGTATGGTAACGCTGAATTATAACTCTTAGAGGTGAAATGTGAGAAGGTGCTCACACTACTCTTCTTAAGGATAGTGAGTTGCATACTTTGGGGGAGGGGATTTTTATTTGTAAGGAGACTTGCATTCTTTCTCATTAAAGTAGAGTCCTGTGGTTGTGACAAATGGCTGTAAATATCAATACCACTAGGGATGAGAAGTTTTTCTACAAAAGAAATGGCCAGTTGCTTTGTGTGAATAAACCTCTTTGCATATTACCAGGATAATTTTGGTGGGATAGATGACAGGTAGACATGGCTGTGGTGAATCAGTGCCTGCTGTGAGCTTGATGCTGGCATTTCCCCCTTCCCTAGGTGTGAATATATTGTCTTTACTGTGTCCCTTTGTTATTTGCCTTGATATTGCATCTCTGGAACTTTCATGCCTACATCTTTGGAGCCCCTTCTCCAAACGCAGCAACTAATCTAGTATACTTTCATAGGAATTTCCCCTTTCTGTCCCATAATGTGCTTTTCTTCCCCCAAATAGTCTTTTTTTGGTCTCTTTGATAATAAAATGCTTACTTACTGTGGGCCACTTGCTTTAACTTATTTTAGCCTCATAACAAAGGTGTTAAAGTACAAGAATATAAGAACCACCAGGATACACAGAACCAGGATTAATTCACATGTGATTGATTAGAATGATAAATATTTTACCATATCCTGAAATACTAGGTGTTTAATTTACCTCTCCAATTAGTATTTTAGTTAATATGCTTCTGGACTAGTGTTAGTTGCTGAATAAATAACTAACACAGAATTTATAAAACCGAGAATTAATGGAAGGGAGGATTAAGTTTGGATTAATTGTGATAGATAAAACAAGTGAATTAATGTACAAATTAAACAATTCCTTTGACATCAGTGAGGGCTAATGTATTCAGAATATCAAAGATGAGTAAAAGGTATGACTTTGTAATGAATTTTCTCCTTAGTTTTATTCTGTCAGAGTGAGAGGAAGATGTTGCTGATGATCTTTGTGCCTTTGAAAGTTGTCACAAAGACTATTTTACCCACTTAAATCTCAATATAAAGTCTATTACCAGATTTGGTGGCATGGGGACAGTTAGGGACAAAAGAGAGAGAACAGCATGAAGGGATCCGTGGTCGCCAGGAGCTACGCCACACACTCTTCTTTGCCAGCCTCTCTAGGTGTCAGTGGGCAGAGGTCATCTTGGATGAGACGTAGCAGTGTAGGAGTGACGAGTAATGACTTATGTGTAATGAAAGGAGGGGTTCTGGGAAAGCGTTTCAGTTCTACTCACTGCTGTCGTCTCTCTCCCGGCACTCTGGACGTCAGACTCTGAGAGAGCTGGGTTATTTCCCACCCGTCCTCTAGTTTTTTAAAACAGTACCTGAATATATTCTCTTCATTAAGTAATCATTTGGACAATATGAACAAAGTGAAAGTTCATCTTGACACCCCCACTCTTGCAG